AGAGCTAAGGCGAGATCTACTCTGGGATCGAGCTCCTCGAGCTCCTCCTCCCCAGCGAAGAGCAACTCCTCCAAGCAGTGATTCTTAAGGAAACAGGTCGCGTGACCTAAGGGCACCACTGCCAAAAAGCTCGGAAAGCCCTGCTGGGGAAGGCGCCAGAAACAAAATGAGAAGGGCTAGGAGGAAATTAGGGATTTTCAGATGAAAAGAGAGAAAAAAAAAAAAAGAGTGAGATGTATATTTAGGTATTAAAAATACATATTTAGTTCATATTAATGGATACTTAGTTGATAACACAAAGACAGTAACTACAATTAGTAAGACTCCAGGATTTGCTATATTTTGACTGCACATTTAGTTAATACAAAATGTAATTATAATTAATACATAGTGCATATTTAGTTCATGTGAGGTCCAATCATAGTTATTTATTTGTGTAAATCAATGACTCATATTAATCAACTGAAATTTACATTAATTATATTATAAATAATAATAAAATTTAAATTAATTATATAAAATGAAGAATTGCATAATTTCACTGCACATTTCGTTCATGCGTAGTGCATATTTAGTTCATGAACACTGCATACTTATTTGATATTATTGTTGCACATTTTGTTAAAACAAATTGTAAAATTAATTCATACAAACGCACATTTAGTTCATATCAACTATACATTACGAGTGCACATGCATACCACGGTTAACGGTCAATGCCGGAGTCAACAACCGACTAAATTGTCAAATAAATATTTAATAATTAAAATAGAAAAAATAAAGATTAAATTTTGACGACAAAAATCTTGTTCTCTATTTAATGACTAAGATTGGATCTCACGTTCTCATTTTTAATAATGGAAACCGTTGAACTTCCTTAAGGGGTCGTTTACTTTGTGTGATGAGAATGGACAAATTAATCAAAGATACTTTACACGTTAGTAATTTTTTCCACATTTACTTTGTATGATGAGATTATTTGAAACAGTGAGGCCCGCAAATATGTAAAGGAAAGAGTGGAATAAAAAAATCCCTAGTGAGAGTAGCACTAATTAAATCATCCAATATTTGATAAATAGTGGGACACGCATTCCACATGTACCTCAAGTGAAATCAATCTCATTCCAATCTAGGAAAATAAACACTGTAAAAGAGGTGACAGTTTTCATTATCCAATCTCATCCCACCAAATAAACGATGCCTTAATTATTAAGCCGATGTTGACGTCCTAAACAAAACTGTGAAAGTATTTTACACATGGTAGTATTTTGTTGATTCTATCACGAGTTCGAACTAAAGTTTAGCAAGTCTATGTTAGACTACCGCCGCTAATTTCACATTCAATTCATCAAAAACCTTATCCGTAATTAAATGCTATTATTCACAGTTTTTCTGAAAATAACATAAGTTCGTTGGCTTTGACTTTGGATTACAAGTTTTGCAATTTTAAGTACATTTATCAAAATTTTAAACTTATGGGTATGGACGTTTTATTACGTAGATTAATCCAACACTTTATTTTTGTTGTTTTTTCCTTCGAAAAAAAAAATATTGAGGCTTATTTTCTTTGACATTGTCCGAAAAAATGACACTAACTTATCCTAAAACTTTGTCAACTTCAATTAAAAAGAAATAGCACTTAATAAATAAATTTAAAATGAGGCATTATATATATATATAACTACCTTCATTTGTAATTGCCATCCAAATATCCTCAACTTTTCATCACAGAACCAAAAAAGTGAAATTATAAATTTTATTTCTCTTCACATAAAGCAGAAACAGTTTTTTTTCCTAGAAAAGAAAAAGAACAAAAATACCAAACAAAAGAATCTAATTAAATGAGCGGAAGCTCCGGCAGCTCTGGCGGAGGAGACGGCGGACATACGCGGCCGTCGCCGTCGTCCGAGAGGGAGAAGAAGAGGGAGCGGGCGCGGGTGAGCCGGACGTCCCTAATCCTTTGGCACGCCCACCAAAACGACGCCGCGGCGGTCCGGAAGCTCCTCCAGGAGGACGGGTCGCTCGTCCGCGCGAGGGACTACGACCACCGGACTCCTCTCCACGTGGCGGCGATTCACGGCTGGGTCGACATCGCCGCCTGTCTCCTCGAGCACGAAGCCGACGTCAACGCCCAGGATCGATGGAGGAACACCGTGAGTTTCTCGCCCGGATTTTTTTTTTGTTTATTTATTTCGTGACCCGTCTTTGTGATTCCGGTTTCGTTATGTCTTCTTCTTATGTAGTAAATTTTGTCTGATTTGATGTTGATGGTGGGTCTAATTTTTGTCTTGGAATTAGGTCAATTGTTGTGTTTTTTGGTTTGGAATTAGGTTCTCCATGCATGATTCGTCCAACAAGAATTTTCAAAATTGCCTTTTTAGTTTTTACCAATGCTTTGTCTTTTTGAATCCTTTCTAAGTTGATATATAGTGTAGTTTGAGACAAGATTTGGCCTTTCTTACTATTTGTTAATATTCCAGCCTTTAGCTGATGCTGAAGGAGCAAAAAGGTACAGGATGGTTGAATTACTGAAGACATTTGGTGGGCTGTCTTATGTAAGTCTCTTTCTCTCTCATTTACTCTCACACATACACTTTGGAAGCTTATTTCTAAACTTGGATTCTTTATAATTATGCAGGGCCAAAATGGGAGTCATTTTGAACCAAGACCAGTTCCACCACCTCTACCGAACAAGTGCGACTGGGAGATTGACCCTCACGAGCTCGACTTCTCGAGTTCAACTCTTATTGGAAAGGTGTAGGTCCATTTGTACAATACTGTCTAAAAGACTATCTTGAAGAAAAATAACAAGTTCTACTTTAGTAGCCAGGACCCGATATCATAACATGATATCTATNAAGTCAATCCAACTTATTCCATGTTAAAATCGATTGCATTTCATGATAATATTTTTTTGGAAGAAGAGTATTTTATGTTTTTGATGGGGAATATTAAATGAAAAATCTCTAGTTGTTGATAGTTAAGGTTGATTTTGTCAGGGTTCTTTTGGCGAGATACTCAAAGCTTGCTGGCGAGGCACACCCGTTGCCATCAAACGCATTCTCCCAAACCTTTCGGATGATAAATTGGTGATGTATGTTTTTTCTACATTGTGGTTTACATATTCTCATATATGTAAATTATTTTCCATAACATGAAACTTGTGATTTGACGCTATAGCACACTTGCATGAACTTTTTGGTTTACTACTCTCGTAATTCAGTCAGGACTTCAGGCACGAGGTCAACTTGCTAGTGAAGCTTCGTCATCCGAATATTGTCCAATTCTTGGGAGCTGTTACCGAAAAGAAGCCCCTGATGTTGATAACAGAGTACCTGAGAGGAGTGAGTGAAATATGTTCTTTATTTATCCTTTTCTCGAAAGCTAATAGTGTTTCCTTTGAATATACATAATTTTTTTTGGCTCTGGTTCACGTCTTTTACTTATTTGAAGGGAGATTTGCATCAGCATCTAAAGGAAAAGGGAGCGCTTAGCCCATCAATTGCAATCAATTTTGCCCTGGATATTGCAAGGTATATTTGGTTTTTTTTTTTTTTTATCANGGATTCTCATATGTATGTAGTTTCGCTAGTCACATATCACCGTCCGCGTTAGGTTTCATTGCTAGTGAACTTATAGAAAAAGAACCTTTGTGCAATATTCTCATATTTATCTTGCTATTGAGCACATAAAATTTCCAATATGCTAATCTGTTTTTTTTTTGTTTTCATAATTTTGTCTGGACAGAGGCATGGCTTATCTCCACAGTGAGCCAAATGTGGTCATACACAGAGATCTTAAACCCAGGTTAGTTGCAATTTTTTGTTTGATAAAAAATCAATATAAAATCGTTTACTTATAATAATCATTACCACATGCCCTTCTTTGTGTCTCATAATATTACGGCAACCTTTTTTACTAGGAATGTTCTTCTTGTCAACACAAACGCTGACCATTTGAAAGTAGGGGATTTCGGGTTAAGCAAGCTCATCAGGGTACAACACTCTCGCGATGTCTACAAAATGACTGGCGAAACTGGAAGCTGTGAGTAGCTATTCTTAAATTTTTTTATTAATAATAATAATAATAATAATAATAATAATAATAATAATAGAAGACCAGATTGGATTATTAAATCGACACTTACTACTCTAATTTTGCATGATTTGAAAAAGACCGGTATATGGCGCCTGAAGTGTTTAAGCATCGGAAGTATGATAAGAAGGTCGATGTTTACTCTTTTGCTATGATATTATACGAGGTAACTTTTTTTTGTTTGTCACGGCACATTGACTTGAACTCATACCAAAATACAAAAAAAGAATCTTCAATTGGGTTTGTTTTAAAGATGCTGGAAGGTGAGCCACCAATGTCACATTACGAACCTTATGAAGCTGCCAAATATCTGTCTGATGGGCACAGGCCAGTGTTTAAGGCAAAGGGTTATATTCCTGAACTGAGAGAGTAAGTAGCCTTCGTGTTCTTCCACTATGTTAAATATAACTGTATGATGTGATAATTTTCGTTTTTTTTTTTTTTTTTT